CCCAATCCCTTCCCGCAGTTTATATATATATTAAGAAAGGAATGGTCAAAGGCTATTATACGAGCCCCCGGCCACTCCTAATGTGTCTAACAATTTGAGTACCACCTCCTCAAGGCCTGCTGTGCCAGAGGGGATCCGAACCCTGACCTGAGGGGTCTTACTGACTGTTATGGAAAAAAGGATACATCCAGATATCTTTGTCTTGTTAGTATGATCAGGAATAATCCCTAATACAGAAGCGCACATAGAAAGTGTATCCCTGCAGAAGAGAAAATTGGACATTAGCTCAAATCAATATTATTTCTTTAAGCAGCATATTTTTTGTTCAATTATCATAATGCTTCTTTCTAAGTTAGCAAACATCATACCAAGCACCCCATAAAATATATCTTGTCTAGGTGTATTGAAGCCTGTTTTGGCCCATGGTGTCAGGTGAGAATATTGAGTAAAATAAGGGCATGTAAGGAAAAGTAAAAGAAAACTTAAAAATAAAACACAATGTATTTAAAGCGAGTAAGAGAGAGTGGACTGCCTAGTGAATGAGTCTACAGGGGGCAGCAAGCACAGGTGGAAAACTTCTAGGATTTTTTTCTCTCTTTCTCCCTCTTCAACTATTAGAGCTTATTCTATATTCATGGATGGCCGGGAAGTAGAGCACCGTTTTTTGGACTTATGCATCAACACTGATTTCTTCCATTGGATCTTCCCATCTCTGCAACAACCAAATCATGGCCACAGCCACTTGGAGAGCCTATAATCACCTAGGTTCCATGTGCGTGACACATGAAATGCAATAGAAATAAACCATAGGAGAGGACCCCTTAGATCTGGCTATTGTGTGAATTGATCATGACCTTCCAGTCGAGACATATTTCATCCCAAATTATCAGATGCTTTGACTATCATTTGAGGGCATGAGAGAGAGGTACAAATGTACAAAATAGTATGAAATGGGGCGGGAATTTAAATGGACATGGCTCAAATAAGATCATTTCTGACATCTTTAAAGACAAAAACTTGGATATCGTTTCCCTCTACAAGCTCTTGATCTTCCTAAATTTCAACATCCTTCCCTTTCCCTCTGTTTTAAATTCTAGTTTCATGGCTGCCACCATAGAATGTCGTAGGAAGGATTATTACAATGTATAAAAACGGCCAAGATGTGACAAAAAAATTGTGTTAAAATTCCAAGGTATAGGTTGTGTGAAACTCCCATTTCGAAAATGATGTAGCTACGGTGGTACAGAGTATTTCTGCTGTGTCAAAACAAAAGAATATCCAGTTCTAATTTCAACTGGTCAAAATAATCTCATATCACTATTTTAGCATCCATGGTTCCGTTCATGGCACCTTAATCCTCTCTATTCCGGACCGTGACAGCCTACACCTCATTGTAACAACCAAATGAGACATTGGAATTCTTCTAGAAGCAATCTAGCCAGAAAGAACTGCTCCAAGAGAATATAACATTTATTGAGCAGATCATCTTGTCAAACAAACCAAACACACCACAGATGAAAAAATGAAAACTAGTTTTGGAGAAATTCATCATTTACGAGTGAATATTAGATATTGGCCTTTGGATTATTTAGGGTGGAGTTGAGTGTTTCGCTTAAACTAGAGCTGGTTAAAAATCTTAAGTTGGTTTGCATCATACTGAAAAAGCTCAACTTCAGGTCCCCAACATCATCATAAATGGTGAATTTGGCTTTTTCTTTCCTACAAGTGAACATTAAATATTGGTTATAGCAGAATGATGTACCAACACTCTTGAATGAAAAGCAGTGCAGTGTCAGTAATGTTCAAGACAGGGACAAACACCCAACATGCATCCGAAGCATGTCGGAAATGGAACTACGTGGGCCTTAGTTTAACCTTAATGTTTGAAGCCGTACATTATAGGCAACTTTGAAGCTTCTTCTAGATGAAGTAGAATGGTAAGGGAAATGTGCTCATTAGCTAAAGTTTAAAATCTTTAGTCAAGCTCAAAAGTTCATACAACATAGGAGGGGCACCACTTCATTATAAGTTGAGATAGTAGTCGAGCCATTGCTGTGATGTACGTTGCAATTTTAAGAGAAGCCTAACAAAACCCTTTACTTTCTCCATCTGAGGACAATATCTTAGAGCTCTTGAAAGCATTTTGAAAATCAACAATACTTTCTCCATCTGAGGACAATATCATAAGGTAGTCATGAAATTCTTGATGGAGGAAATTTAAGCCCCTGGAATATTTGATGATATAGTTTGCAATCTCAATCTCTTCCTAAATCATTTAACATTCCGAGCTCTCTTACTATCCTACATATGAGGTCAAATTCACTTCACCTCTTTTTCTGTCATCTGAATTTTATGAAGATAAGGATGAGCTAGTCAAGTATCCTAATTACTTTCTAGTGGTGTTCATGCATCCCAGCTAGATGCTGAAGGGAAGAGAACATGAGTGAAGATAGAGGAGAAATTTGACTAAAAGTTAGAGAAGTCGTGGAAGAATAGGTTGCTTCAATCTTAAAAGTACATTATCTTAAGAAACAAAATTAGATAACAAAAAAATGGGTCCATCTTAATACTAATCAATGTTAAAATCCCAATCCCTTCCCGCAGTTTCCTCCTCTAGCTAGATAAAATGTGGTCTGAGTTGCAGAGGTTGTTTGAAGGAATCTAAAAATGGTACAACAAATAACTCTCTTGAGAAGATGCATAGTATTTCAACCACTTCAGTTAAATGCAAAGAAGCTTGAACATGAAAATAATATCTCTAAATAGAAACCATGTAATTATCCTAACTATATATCCTTCTTAATGCAAATTTGAGATTATTTAAATTGTAATGTCAATGGTTTAAAAGTATGCCTTAAGACCATGGTCAAATTACATTAGAAGCAACAAAAGCTTAACAATGAGGGAAAATTGGCATTGAACATTATTAAGACAGTAACGCTTGGTCTGGCTCCGCTTCTCCTTTTTTAAAAGTTCGTTTAAACTGAGATCTTTAAAAAATGGTTTGGAGGAAGTGAAGGCTCCAGCTTACAGAATCCTCTTCAGCCCATGTCAAAGTTTTAAATGCAGCCATAAGATTGAGTGAAGTCTTTGAAGTCAGCAAAAAAAAAAAAGATTGCTAGAAAGGCTACAAAAATAAGAATTCAACGTTTTAGTTCTTTTTTTTTTCCTTCCATTTCTCACACATGGATTGTTCAAGAAAGACTTTCCTTCTTGAATTAAACTTTGCCTGAGAGGATTGACTCTCACCTTCCAATGATAGGAATAGTTTCATTGACATTAGTCTCACAGAAAGATCAAAGAGACTTGGCATTTTCCAGGGACTGCGTCAGTTTGTCAACATTCTTCCCATCATTGAGCATCTCATAAAGATCATTTGCAAGTGAAAAAAGTTTCTCAATGTCCCCCTTTTGACTGTCTACCATCAACAAATACTTCGAAAAGCTTCTTAGTTCGTGCTCTGTTTCTATTTCAAAGGAGTCGTTGGAGGGGCGGCAGGAGAGGAGATGGAGGGGAAGGAGGTGGCCGTGAAAGAACTTGACGACGGTGAAGAGGTCGTATACCGGGAGAGGACTGGTGGGTTTGGTGATGAAGGCTGTCTTTATTTGGAGATGCTGCTCCACTCCAATGATTTTGGAAATTTTCCAAAACAGTGGAACGCTGCCAAGAAACACCGGAAAGGAGCTCCCAAATCGCGTCTTGAAAACGGAGATAACTATCATTCCGGTAGTCGCATTTCCGGAGAAGTCGACAGGCCAAACGAACAGTCGGCGTTCTCTCAACGTTTGCTGGAACCGAATGGTGGTATTACACGCCCTCTCAAACTAAAAGCCTAAATGAGTAAACAATGGTGTTTTTCTTTAATAAGCATCAAAGAAGATGACCATTGATCTTGCACCAATTCCATTTACTACTTACGTAGAGTCCTATACAAGACAAAAGTTAAATAAGTCCTTACTATTGCATCTACAACAATGGAGTCTAAACTTGTGGTGACTTGAACTAAGAAGTACGTGTAGCCTGCTTAATATAAAAATTGTACTTGTGATCTCTGGAGGTCACCAAAATTAATAAAGAAGTCGCACTCCTTTAAGGCAACATAATTCGTCTACTTACAAGGGCTAAAAGAAGTCATTGATAGGTGCTCAAGAGGGGAAAAAAATTATCTAGGTTTGCTTCTAATGGAAAAGAAAAGAAAATGAGTAACAAAATTTTCACATCCATATTCAAAAAGGAAAATATCTCAACAAAGCATGGAAGAGCTTAAGTATTGAAAACCAATAGAGTAGAAGAGGATCACCCCAACTGAGTTAAGAGCAACCATGAATTTTATTCATATGGAGGATTCCATTCAATTGAATCTCCATGTTATTTTTATTGTGTTTGGCATCTATCCTAATAGAATTAAATGAAAATATAACACTCAATAGAACGCAATGGAGAAAAAGGATTCATATAGCCGAACCCACTTAGTGGGATAAAGGTTTGTTGTTGTTGTTGTTGTTTTGTTTAGCATCTACTCATCCCAAGATTATGAATATAAAAATGGAGAGGAAGATCTTGTTTTTATTCATGTATATCTTTAGCGGCTTTAACCCTTGTCAATATTCTTCTTATTTAGTTGTTCAAGCAGCACACAATCTACATTATACATCTATTTGTTATGCTCCTAGATGTTTATTTGAAGATTAATATAGTGCATTCAACAAATGGTCCTATAAGGGGAAAAGAGTTTGAGTTGTTTCATCCATAAATTAGGAAGAAACAATCCACATCTCTCCCTATAGATGGAGGGAAAAATATCAAATCATAGGTTGGCCCTTCCCTGACTAAGAAAAAAAAAACAAATGACTCGCCCAAATGAAGGAAGAGGAATGAAAGAGAAAACAAATGTGCCTTCATAAAGAAGAAAAGTTGACTGAAGATGAAAATTAAATTGAACACCTATTCTAATAGATAGAGAGGCTTAACCAACCCTTGCAAAGGAAGATGAAAAAAACTATTGGGAATTAGAGGAAACCTACTTAAATCATTGTAAGCAATTAAAAAAAACAAAAAAAAAAATAATAATAATACAAAAAAATTAAAAATAAGAAAACCAATAAACAAAATATAATATTAACACAAAAAATAACAATAAATATTTATAAGTTTTCTAAATTTATGGCTATCACATTATCATCAATTTAGATTTCAAAATAAGTTTATTGTGGGGTTTTTCTTATTACTCTAATTTCTCAAACCCAACATAAAAGTCCTGCCATTTCTTTATAGAAAAAAGGATGCCAAAAATACAATAAAATTCTCAAAATAAACTTAATGAAGTAACTCATACAAATTAGATGTCTTTTAAGGGTTGCTTCCCATTTTAACCCCCACAACCCTATCGCAAAGATCAGCCCTTGAAAAAACTTACATAGAAATTTTTCTTCATTATAAAAAAAATATTATATGAAAATATGACACTAAAGAGGATGCAATGGAGAAAAAGGATTCATGTAGCCGACTCCACATAGTGGGATTAAGGCTTTGTTGTTGTTGTCGTATAAAAAAAATTTAGGCTCTAAAACATAGAAAAAAATCTTCATGCATCTCTCCTCAAAAAAGGGTTCAGAGTCGATTCTTCCATACAAAAATGGAGGAAGCAAACTTCTTTCCCCAAATGGAAAGGAAGAGTTAACTCGATCTTGAATATGAAAAAGAAAATGTTAAATCTTCTCTAAAGAGGGAACAATGAGAAAATCTATCCAAAAAAAGAGGGTGGAAAGTTTTAGTTAATCCTAAAGTGAGGGAAGTAAAATTAAGTTTTATGGAAAAATAAAATAGATCTCACAATGAACACACATCTTTCCCAAAAAATCAGAATACCAAGAATAAATCTTCCATGAAAAGAGAAAATGCAAAGGCATGTCTCGACCTGAATAAAAGGAGAAAGTGTGAACTCCCAAAAGAGGAAGAGACGAGGTTGAATCTTCAAGAAATAGGAGAAAGAAAATGAGTGTCTCTATTTAACATGAACAAGAAAGAGTTGTATCTTCCCTAGAAAGCAAAGTGAAAAATGAACCTCCCATCTCGACTCTTTTTGAAGATGAACAAGAAAATAATGTTAAAATACTTATTGGATGTGTTATTTTTTAAGCACTTTGATTATTAAGACCAACAGGTGTGGGAGTCACTGACGTAAAGCTCATTAGATGTGTAAAACGAAAGCTCGAGGGAACTAAACAAGCAATTCATGGACAATTTCCACGTGTTCAAGTTATTATTAAAATACTTATTGGATGGGTTATTTTTTAAGCACTTTTATTATTAAGACCAACAGGTGTGGGAGTCGCTAACCTAAAGCTCATTAGATGTGTAAAACAAAAGCTCAAGGGAACTAAACAAGCAATTCATTGACAATTTCCACGTGTTCAAGTTATTACCCATCTTCTAATACTGTTCCTTTCCAGGAATTCTGCATGAAATTACAGCAACTAACAAAAGACGCCTGATTATGAGTCCAACACATAGAACAAGTCTATCAAGTACCACTCGTTGCCCATTTAGGATCTTAAATCATGCCGTTTAATATACTAAACTTCAAAAAAATTTCAGCTCCACGTTTAGATATAATATAATGGGGTAGAGACACGAGAGGCATTGGATAAACTAAGAACTATACCAAAAACTCAAAGCAGCTCTTTTGGTGAGATCAATACTTCTTTTGTTAGTCGGGTGTTAAATTGCCCACTTAGTGGGATTAACCAAAAGATAATTCAAACTTGAAAAAGCAATTACTCTTGCAATTTTTAGACATACTGTGACTTATGTACATCATTCTCTCTTTGGTTCATAAGTTTTTGGCGTTCTTCAAAAGAAATTCGTTGCTTCTCTAGATTACCAAGTTCGTCACCAACTGCTGTGTTGAAAGCAAGAAAGATTAATCAGTCAAGAATACTTAACTAGATATATGCTTAAACTTCCATTATCTTTTTCAAAATTAGATGAGTACTTATCTAAGCTCTTGACGAAGCACGTGTTCCATCTGTATTTTTTCCTCTAGTTCAGTTTGAAGCTCATTTAATATTGAATCAGCAATTACTTCACCCTTTACCATCTCAATCCTCTCCTTACATCCATTTATCTTTCTTTGATATTCTGACGTCAAAAGAACGAAGTCAAAAACTGGTTGCAAAATGTTTCATGTTTTAAGGGTTTCAATTTGCACTTAAAGTGATTAAAATATGACCAAATATAATAACCTTTTTAACTGTGTTGCAGTACTTTGAAAGGTGAAAAAGGTTGATGTGGCTGTTTTGAGACGCGCACAAACAAAAAGAACAGAAAGTTAATGAGTGCAAAAAGTCAAGCACTCATCACAAACATACATATATACAATACGTAACAAATATAAGAGTTACAAAGTTCTTCTAAAACTTCTTCTTTAAAGAGGAATCCTCCTCAGCCTGTGCCGAGGTTTTAATTGCAGACAGGAGACTGAGGCTCCATTTGGCTCCGCTTTTTTGACGCGTTGCGGCCCCAAACAGCAAAGTCTCATCGTTTGGCTCGCAGCTTCGCGGCGGAAGAAATCCAAAAAGGGTGGAAAGCGGGAAGCGGGATCGACCCCGCGGTCCCAGCAGCTTTCCCCTCGACAAATATTATTTTTGCCCTTGGCGCAAAGTTTCGTCTCCCGCGCTGGCCATATCTATCGCCTGTGTCCCGCGCCATCTCGCCATTTCGTGTCATCGACCCCGGTTTCCTCTTCCTCTACCAGGGCCGAATCCAGGGAGCACGAGGCAGGTAACCACTCTTTTCCATTTTCCTTCGGTTCCACTCGTTCCCTTCTGGTATAGTGTAATAGCAAAATTTCGTTCAATATGCGTTACCTCCCTCCATAGCCGATGAAAAATCTCACATCCTGTTTTCGTAACCTTTACCCTTTGACGAAGATTGGGATGCATGAAACTAAATTTCTGAGAGTTATTACTGCAAAGACTGTGCCCTTTTTTTCTCAGATGGGGTTTGGCATCCCTCCATCTCCTCTTGGTTCTCTCATTTCTCCTAATCTCACTTTTAAATTATGTCTGACACTCCTTATACTAATTCTAGACTAGTAAACGAACCCATTGTTAGTTTATTTGAGTTTCTCTCTTCTTCTCTGTGTTCTTATTTGGCAAATGTTTCACGGTACAGCAAAACTACGGAAAACCTTGGCTTAGATGCTGGAATTAGAAGCTTTATGGAGAATTTTAAAGTCATTTAATTGCTGAAGCTCTGGCATGTAATTCGTTTTTATTTTCTTTACAAAAGAAAGCTTACTTTATGTACTGATCTGAATGGAGACCTTAACCGATAAAGTATGTATAGGTTTGAATCTTGAACTTACTGTATTCATTTTTTATTTTTTTTTCTTTCTTGTTTACTTCTTCTCTATGTTTCATTTTTCAAGTAATTTCCTTTTTCAAGTATAGGTGATAATTCTATATCGTATAAGTTGGTCTTATTAGAATATATCTTGTTTTAACATAAATGCCACCCAATTCCAATGTATTTGCATATCTAACACCTAAACTTTACTTTTTTTACTTTTATGCTACACTAATCTTTCATGCTACACTAATCTTTCATATTCCATGTTGCAAGCTTTGGTTCACTTGCCAATTAGAAGAAAAAAAACTTGTGTTTGTAGCTCTATCTTTGTCCTCAAGTTTTTTACTATTTAGAGCCTTCAAATGTCTGCAATGTGTCAATCGAGTTAGTATGATGTAAAAAAAACAGCAATTACTTTTTTAGGAGAAAAGATGATGTTTCTAAGAAAAAAAATCTTACAATTCATAATTGAGTAGCTTTGTACAAATGAGATGGTTTTAATGGATTTCTACGCTGATGTTTGATCTAGTTTCCCTTTCGTGTTTTTAAGATAATACTTGGTATTTGCTTATGAGAAATCCTGATATCCTGATTCCTGCAGCATTTATTGTTAAAATACCTGAGGTGATGTACACTTAAAAATTGAAGTTTACATGATAAATATGTAACTAAATAGGAATTGTGTGTTCTGCATGTAAACCTTCATTAATTAAATACCTTAATGGAACGAAGGGTTTATTTGAAAATTTTAAAAGCCATGTTTTCTCTGGTACTGGTTTGCCAAGCCATGTTTTCTCTATTATTCGATTGTGGTAGGCCAAAAATGGGTCAAATTTGTTTACCAAAAAGTTGTTTTTATTGCTTTAACTTCAACTTTTTTTCATACAGCCATCTTGCTCATGCATAAAAAGGTGTACTTGGCTTTTTAAAAGTTAAATTAGTGGTATTCTTTATGTGATAAGAAGGATATGGTTGGTATTAATATAAAAAAAATCAAACTTTTGGTGTTAGATATGTAAACACATAGGAATTGGGTGGCATGTTATACATAATTACTATCCATATGCTTCCAAATTCCGAAGAAACTAGTTCAACTAACTTGGGATCCATATATGTTGAAACTTGTTTTTGATATGAGCTGTTTTTTTTAAAGGACAATTTTCTTTTCTCCTCTTCACTATAGATGGGGAAGGTGCAAGCGAGATGAAAGAGCTGAGGGAACGAATAACTGATGAGATAGTATGTCTATGAATGAGATAGTTTTAAGTTCATGAATTTGCATTTATAAGAAAGTAAATTGAGAAGAAAAGTAGGGACAACCTCTGCAGCAGTTTGTTCACCGTTGAAATAAAATCTGAAAATAGCTTTCTTTCTTCTTATAATGTAGTTTAGATGGGTTGGTTGCATCTTTTAGCAAATGCACATCTATATTGGTTTTGCAGCACATGCATGGAGCACACAATGGCAGCACATGCTATTATATTGATTTTGCAGTACATGAATTTGTTTTTACATATGTTTTTTAGCGCAATTTTAGCGCAGAATTCTTATATATTTACGTATGTTTTTTAGCACAGAAATCTTATATATTTACATACCATACAATTCATTTATGTGAAGTTTGGGATATGATATTTTTTTATGCGATATGGATGATTTGAGTGGTGTAAATGTAAGAAAGCAAAGTTTAGTTGTTAGCTCTGCGAAATGAATATACAATGCAGGTTTGAATTCAATTTTCTACTATTTTCTGGATGTAAGTTATTCGAATGTGTATTCCTACATTACGTAGAGCTAAGTTTGTTATTGTAGCAGCTCATACTGTTAATTGTTTACTAGGTTTCCATTCCAGCTTCCCCATGCATTCCAATGGAGTTTACAATCATATACATAATCTGTTTTCCTAGCCAAAATGCATTTAGATGGCTTGTTCTTTCCATTTCTCCTTTATATAAGTTTCAATTTATATTAGTTTTTGTCTGCTTACATTGGAGTACCTTTGTAATATGCCAAAAGCAAAGCAACTTGATTGAAAATTCCATTGGAATGCAAAGGTTTATGTGTTTCCATCATTGGAGGTGCTAAATATTTAGGGATTACAAGTATTGGAGGATTGGTTTGATGGAGCAAGTGCAGCAGCAAGTGATAGTTTCTTTCCTTGCTTAACTGAACTCTTCCTTGATAACTAGCCTAATTTTGTTAGAGTTGCCCTATTTGCCTCCTAAGCTCAAGAAAATGAAGATGCAAAATATCGAGTAGAAGGCTGCTTTGAACTGCAAGTTATTTTTTCCATTATGATTGCAATGTAATTTTCAATGTAATTTTCTATGTATGTCTCAAGCTTTACATACATAGCACATAAATCTTATACATAATTCCAAGGAATTAGTTGGATATATATAGTCACACACATGCACACATTTACTTTTTTATTATTCAGAGATGGTGAAATCTCTCTCTTGGAAGTCAATCATTGTTTGGAATTAGTTGGATATGCTTTTTTTTGGAGCAAAAACAAATCTGAGCTTTTGATTCTCCACTTCTCCACTTTTATGTCTACTCTTCTAATGCATTGGTGACAAAGGAGCTTGGGCAATCCATTCTTGTGAGGGCATATATGAGGATAACTGTTATTTCCATGATATTTTTATATTTTAACATATGTTCTTGAGTTTTTATATTGGTTTGAAATATTATATTGGCTTCATTTCTCCAAAAATTGACTATTACGAGTCATTTAAAGTCAAATGTTCCCTCCCTTCTATATATTGTTGTTGGCAAGCTCAGTATAGTTTTTTAGTATATAAGAAATTAACTATCGAACAACAAAAACAAATAACTTGGATGTCATGACAATTTGATGGGAAAAATTACTTCTGTACCCGTTCGTGAAGTTTATTTCTCTGTTCTTGGACCCTGATTTATTTTGCCTTCATAATAAATGAATTTTTTCTCATGAATTGATCTCATTTTCGGGGCTCACTATTAAGTCAATGGTGTACCTAAACTTTTTGCTCTGTTTAAAAATAAATTCTGCTTAGAAATGAATTTCAGCTTCTGAAGTTTAAAAAATGTGGTTGTTATAGTCTTCTTTTAAATAGTTTTAGCAAACAGGGGCACAATGGTCATTTTTTCATAAACAGTTGACCCACCGCTGTTTTCACACAGCTGCACCAAACAGACAGTTTTCTAAGACTTCTTCTTTAAAGAGGAATCCTCCTCAGCCTGTGCCGAGGTTTTAATTGCAGACAGGAGCTGAGTGAAGTCTTTCAAGTCAGCCAAATAAAAGATTGCTAGAAAGGCTACAACAGTCAAACTTCAACGTTTTTTTTTTTTTTTTAATCATAGTGACAAAGTTCTTCTAAGACTTTTTTTTATAAAGCGGAATGCTTTTCTGCTTGTGCCGAAGTCTTAAATGATGCCAAGAGACTATGCCAAGTCTTGCAAGTCAGCCAAATATAAGATTGCTATAAAGGCTATAACAATCAAACTTCAATTTTTTGTATTTTTTTTTTTATTTCCCTTCTTTTTCCTATCATTTCTCACATATGGATGGTTCAAGAAAGATTTCTGTTTTCACATCTTATTGATATTTGGATTTCCCTTCTTCCATTAAACTTAAGCTGAGAGTTTGACGCTTACCTTCCAATGATATCTTAATTTGGCAGAAAACAAAGTATTTGAACTGAGCAATGCTGGCTAAAACATATAAAATAGTCATTCTTATCTTTTGAGAATTAGGCTACAACATATATGACAATTCTCCATAGTTTCAATAAATTTAACAAATAAGACTACAGTAAGAGAAAATTTAAAACTAAACTGCAAATAAATAATGAACTATGTTTGCATAAACTTTAGTCCTCCAGTGTGAATTATAGTCTTGTCACCCACACTATATCCTCAAAGGAGAGTTGTTCGAATTAATTTGGCTCATTTTCTCCTTATGACAATTCTGAAGTGAAAGCTCAACAAAACACACCTAAGCTCTCATAAGGAGAAACTCCAATTCTATGTTTATATTGGAGACTGCTTCAAATGTGCACAACTAAAAGAACAATCCACATGATAACTACCAAAAGTAAATAAAAAACATGCTCAACTTTTTTTATCACAGATACAGACATACACTATCCTAAACAGAAACAAGGAACTCTCAATGCAATATAAGGATATCTCAACTAGTTAGAGCCTTGGTGGTAAAACTTTTTAGCACATAACACCATTCCATAGGTTGTGCTTGCATCATTTGTTACTTCCACAACTTGCATAAGAATCATCCCCAGATACAGACATACACTATCCTAAACAGAAACAAGGAACTCTCAATGCAATCTAAGGATATCTCAACTAGTTAGAGCCTTAGTGGTAAAACTTTTTAGCACATATCACCATTCCATAGGTTGTGCTTGCACAATTTGTTACTTCCACAACTTGCATAAGAATTATCCCTATTATAAACAACATTTACCACTTTCTTATTTGTAACTTTCAGGATAAACAATTAGGTTCCTTTCTAAACTAAAAGAAAAATGGAATTATCACATTATTTGGCAATTTTTTCAATATTATGTTGTAGAGATATAAACTCTTACAAAATAAATAGCATTGTAATGAAGAAGCGCAAACATAATTGAAACACGCCCTAACACATAAAAAGAAGTTAATAAAATATATTATTCTAAGATATTTCAATGCCCTATCATAATAGAAACAAATTTTCATTATCAAAATTTCTTCTGTACGTAGTTAACCTATCTACAATAAATGCAATATTAAGTCTGGCAGAATTCATAGGATGCACCAAGTTACCACTGTTTGAAATAAGCTAATGCAGTGAAATGCAAGCACCTAATTTTTACTTGTACTATGAATTTGTATTATAAAATGTGACAACAAAATTTCTGCAATGCACTCAAAACTTACTAATGAGTTATGAGGGAAATACTTTTGATATATAGTGAAACACTATAAAATTGTAAAATTATTTCATAAAGATAGCATTAGCCTTCGCAAATTCCTTTAAATCAGCATGAGATCACAATATATGTTTCCAAAAATTTCAAAAGTAAAGATAGAATAAGTATGATGTTTATTAAAATTATGACAGCATCTGTAACCAATATAAAATAAGCATATCTATCAACATCATTTATCCCTATTCCACAATATCATCACTAGTTTCTTGTCAGTCGCAAATTTTCCATTTTTCAATTAATATATTTTTTTATATTTAGCATTAAAAGCATTGAATTCTGTTCAATCACAACTTTATTTCCAACTAATCAAAAAGTGTGTATTTTGAACAAATAATAATATAATTAACATAGTAAGATCATAATTAATTTTTTCACCTAAAACTAAAAAAATAAGGTTAATAAGCTCAATTTCTCTTCAATCTTGTGGCTTACATGGCTTCTCTAATTGTGAAATTTATGCATAAATTTGTTAAATTTGGTATCTTAATTAAATCCTAAACAGTTCAAGATCAACAAAAAAGTCATTTGATCAACTCGCATGCAAGCCAAGTTAAGTTACAGGTTGGCAAGATCAGAACTTGACTCAAGTTGACTGTGGCTCATTAATTTTGACCTCAATTCAATTTGAGTAAAAAATTGACCAACTTAATAAATTATTGATCTTCTAAGGTAAAATTCCAAATAAAATCATTTCAAACAAATTACATACATCAATATATTTGACTGTGGCGCATACACAATACAATCATTTCAAACAAATTACATAAATGAATATATTTGTATAACTTTTCAAATACATAGTTTATTATCAGAAGTCAACATTGCACAAGATTGACTAAATCCACGTTTGACCTAAGCAGGCTTGGCTCCTCTCATTGACTTCAATAAGATCCAACAATTGACCCAAGGACTAAATAATTTTAGATCTACCAAGAAAAAATTCACAGCCCTCCTTATGCACATACACGACATTTTTTCTACCAAGAAAAAATTCACAGCCCTCCTTATGCACGTACACGACATTTTTAATTCATAAATCAGCATATTCTAGAGAAACAAACCGTTAATCATTTTGATCCCTTCCCCTGAAATAAGTATTCATCAATCCCATGAGAAATATCAACAGTAGCAACGAAAAAAGAAAGCGGCTCAAGCAAATGAATCTAACGAAGCAAAAGAAGAAAAAGATGCAGCCAGCATTAGAAAACAACTGTGACTCCGAGGGCTTCGGTACGAGAAAGCCAATAGAGTGTGTGTGTCAGATTCTTCTAGCCGGAAAGATCCGTAGCGATGAGAAGTAGAACTTAGTCGAAGAGAAATTAAGCAGCGGCAGCAGGGGGCGGGACGGGATAACGAGAGATGAAGATAAACAGAGAAGAACAAAGAATGCAGCTTACCTAGAGAAAGGAAATCTTTTACGGTTAGCTATCTCACAGTGCAGCAAGATAGAGCGGCGGAGTCGACGGCGGAGCGGATAATCTCTGCGACGAGAAGGGATGGTAGAAGAGGCTGAGAAACGCTCGCGATTGCCACTCGTATGCTAGGTTATTTAACTACTAACAATTGGATTTGCTGAAGAAAAAAATTTGAATGTGAATATTCAAATCTTATTTTAATCAAAATAGTCACATAATTATTATATTTAATCTAAAATAATTATAATAAATATTTAATTAAATAAATTCATATTATAATCACATTAAATATATATTAAATTACGTTTTATAAAATTTAGATGAGAATATTCTTCCTTGGATTTCTTTTCTCAGTACTAATTAAGAACAAAATTGATTGTTTCTCAATGTATCACATTACTCATATATCAAATGTATACCTCTACATTCAATTTTTTTCAAGAAACCTAACAATTCAATTAATTTTTTAGTTGATCTAATTCATCTTATTGATAACAAAGCAATTTAAATAAATTCAAAACTTTTGATTTAGATAATGAAGTTCTAATATATTAACTTATAAATTAATGTATAAATTTGTGATTTAATTTTATGAGAATCCATTGATGGCTAGTGTTGTGATTAATAGCCTGGGTTGGAAGAGGAAGATCAATCACATTTATTCAAAACATGGGTTAGAAGAGGGAAGATCAATCTCAATCACCTAACTTTTTCTCATCTCACATACCAAATCAAAAAATGTAGAAGTGAATGTTTCTTAAATATAAATTAAATTAGTAACCAAGTTTTATGAAACTTAGATGAAAGTACTCTTGCCTCAATTTCTTCTCTTAGTGCTTGTTTCTTAAGAATAAAGTTGAAAATTGTTCTCAAACTATCATATTGCTCATACATCAAATATATACCTCAACATTCAAAAATTTCAAAAAAAAAATTAACAATACAATTAATTTTCATTTGCATTTAGTGCATCTTATTGGTAACAAAGCAACTTAAATAACTTCAAGATATTTGACTTAGATATGAAGTTATAATAGATTAATATATAAATTTGTGATTCAATTTTATGAGAATGATGGCTATTATTGTGTTCAATAAATTAGGCTGTAAGAAGGAAGATCGATCTCAATCATCTCACATACCAAATTAAATAAATGAAGAAGTGGATTTTTTTCTAAAGAAATACATAGACCTGTAACCATAATGTCTTGCTCACTTAAATGATTTTCATTATTTTAGAATGTCATATAACAAAGTATTGAATCCGAATTTTTTTAACGGCCTCATACCCCCTAACCAAATTATTTAAGAAGAAATGTGAGAAAATAAAATGTAGAAGAAGAGAGAAAACCTCTAAATATGGAGATGAATGAGGGGAAGTCTAATACAGGCATTCTTCCAGCAAAAATGAATACCCCCTATACTGATGTAGACAGGACTTGAAGTTTACTAGGCTATTTATTAAAAATTGGATTAGTTGAAGTAAGAAATTTGAGTATGAATATTCAAATTTTTTTATCAAAATAATGATGTAATTATTATACTTAATTTAAAAAAATTTTAATTAATATTTAATTAATTTATTTATATTATAATCATAAAAAATAAATCAAAATAGTAAACAAGTTTTATAAAATTTAGATAAAAATGGTATTTCCTAAATTTTTTCTCTTGATGCTAGTTAGTTGAGAATAAAGTTCAAAGTTGTTATCAAAGTATGGCATTATCTCATAGATCAAATATGTACCTCAATATTCAAATTTCTTTCAAATAAAAAAAAAACAATTCAGTTACTTTTTAGTTTAATTTAATGGATCCTATTGATAAAAAGGTAATTTAAATAAGTTCAAAACTTATGATTTAGATATGAAGTTTTGTTATATTAACTTATAGATTAATTAACAAAATTTGTGATTCAATTTTATGAGAATTCATTGATGGCTAGTGATTTATTCAATTAATTGACCTAGAAGAAATAAAAAATAGAAGGAGATGGAAAATCTCTAAATTTAGAGATGAAAAATGAGAAATTTTATACTGTATTTTTTCTAGCAAAAAAGAACACCCCCACGCTAATGAAAAAGTATTTCATATGGACACCACATGCAGAGATGCAGCAAAGATGTATTTCAGTGGGCCACACTTTTAACTTTTTTTTTATCGGCGGTGGAGATCAGCCACCGCATGCATCTTTGCATGCGGTGTCCGTATGAAATAATTTCTCCATGCTAATCCGAGCGGGGCTTGAAGTTTGCTAGTTTTTCTACCTATTAATAATCAGATTAGAAAAAGTGGAAATTTTGGGTATGAATATTCAAACATTATTA